GATTCTTAGATATAATACCAAAAGCACAATCAACAAAAGAAAACATAGATATATTGGACTTAATCAAAATTAAAAACACTTTTGCTTCAAAGGACACTGTATTGGTGTTGGCAAGTTATGATTCTTCTGAAACCTGTGGGAGAATCCTTTTTTTTTTTTTTTTGCCTCTTTCTAGCTTCTGGTGTTGGCTGTCAGTCTTGCTGTTGCTTAGCTTGCAGTTGTGTGATTCCAGTCTCGTCTCTGTCATCACATGTTCTCCATGTGTGCCTTTACTTCATATCATCTTATAGGGACACTAATCACATGGGATTAAGACTCACTCTCCTCCGGTTTGATCTTATCTTAAATAATTACATTTGCAACAGTTCTATTTCCAAATAAGATCACATTCTGAAGTACTAGGGGATTAGTACTTCAATATATCTTTTTGGGGGACACAATTCAACCCATACCATATACTATCAAGAAAGTGAAAAGATAACTCATAGAATGGGAGTATGTACTTGCAAAAATCATTTATCTAATAAGGAACTTGTGTCAACTACATAAAGAACTCTTACAACCCAATAATAAAAAGACAAATAACCCAATTTAAAAATGGGAAAAGATATGGATATACATTTTTCCAAAGAAGATATACAAATGGCCAATAAGGACATGAAAACATGCTCAATATCATTAACTGTTAGGAAAATACAAATCAAAACAACAAAGAGATACCACTGCACATCCACTAGGATAGCTATAATTAAAAAGACAGATAATAACAAGTGTTGATTAGGATGTGAAGAAATTGAAAGCTTCATACATTGTTGGTGGAAATATAAAATGGTACACTTGCTTTGAAAAACAATCTGGCTATTCCTCAAAAGGTTAAAAATAGAGATACCTACAAGCCAGCAATTTCGTTCCTTGGTATATACCCAAGGGAAATGAAAACACGTGTCTATACAAAAACTTGTACAAGAATGCTCATAGCAGCATTATTCATAATAGACAAAAAGTTGAAACACCGAAATGTCCACCAACATTTCAATGAATAATCAAAATGTGGTATATCCATATAATGCATTACTGTTTGGCCATAAAATGGAATGAAGTTCTGATAAATGATACAACATGAATTAACCTTGAGAAACTTGTGCCAAATGAAAATGACCAGTCAGAAAAGATCATGTATTATATAATTTCACTTATATGAATGTCCAGAATAGGCAAATCTATAGAGAGACATACAGTAGATTAGTGGTTGCCTAGGTCAAGGTGAGTTGAGAGGAAGTGCAGAGTGACTGGTAATAAATACAGGGTTTCTTTTAGGGGTGATGATATATTCTAAAAATGATTGTGATGATAGTTGTACAACTCTGTGAATACACTAAAAACCATTGAATTGTACAGTTGAAATAAGTGAATTATATGGTATGTGAATTATATCTCAATAAGGGTGTTAAAAAATGGAGAGAAGATCCTATAAGATTCCAGAGAGTGACATCAGATCTCATACAAAGGATTGGGAATCAGATCAGCATCAGACCTCTCAGTAGCAACACTACAAGCTGGAAGTCCATGAAGAATGCCTTAAAGATGCTGAGGGAAATTTATTTTCAGCTGAAAATTACATACCCAGCCAAAGTATCAATCTAGTGTGAGGGTAGAATGTAGACTTTTTCAGAAACACAAGGTTAAAGAAATTATCTTCCATGAATACTTCCTCAGGAAGCTGCTGGAGGATGTGCTCCACTCATAGAAGGGCATAAACCAAAACAGAAGAAATGAAATCCAGGAAAACCAGAGATCCATGGAGGAAAGAGAAGAAATGAAGTTTCTTCTGGCAAAGGGAAGTTCCAGGATGAAAACTGTGTAGCTGATCTAGAGAGCTACCAGCTCAGATGAGGGAAGGAGAACCAAGAGATGCAGAAGGGGCATCTCAGAGGAAAAGAAACTTTTTTAAGGAACTGGAACTGATAGTGAAAACATGTAGTAAGAATTATCTCGTCAGGCTTTTGCAGAAGACGGGGAGATTTAACCATGGGTCAAAGGAAATAACCAATGAAAAAATGAAACAATGATTAACTCTGAGGAGGAAAAGAAGTTGAAAAAGAAAGGAAAGGTGGTCGTAGCATATTAGTTGGTTCAGGCGTGAACACTATTTACTGATTGCGAATGTTAGAAAGAAATGTGGTGTCGTGGTATTGAAAGGACAGGAGAAAGGATGTAAGTGAACCTCATCTGTCACGATAGGAGTGTCAAGAGATAGTATCTAAATGGGACCTCTTGGGAGACAGCAATAATAGCAATAAATGCTTTATTTAGGAAGTCAAAACTAGAAGTAACAACTAAATGAGTAGAAATGGTTGCTTTTGGCGAGCAGGTTGAAGTGAGGTAGGAAGTGTGCTATTTTAATTCTAATTCATTGACTTTGACTCTATAAACTATAAACACATTGCATTACTTTGGGAAACAAAAATTAACTTGAAGACCTATGAGGACAAACCATGATAACAATAAGGGTCTTTCTTTTTGAGATTTTCCTGTTCTCTGAAACAATTCATCTTTGAAAGGTGAGCAAATAACCCCACCCAGTTTTTCAGGTGTTTCATAAAGTGCACCCTTATAAGGAGCTCTAGGAGGCAGGTATTACTAAGGGATCTTGGTGCTGTCAACCTTGAGTATCAAGATTCAGGCAGTGTAATGAAATATTGAGTTTATCTGAGCACAAAGTTTGAGCATGGCCACGCGGGAGGACACAGACTCCAGAGATGGTGTCAGTGCTCTGAAGCGGAGAGGTTTGAGGGACGGTTATATAGACAAGATCTGCCGAAGTTTTACAGGAGTTCGACATTTTCCATAGAAAGTTAGTGCATAGTTACCACACTTTGATTGGTTATGGGCAGAGCTTCCTTCCGGGAAGAGCATATTTAACATTCCAAATTAGGAATGTAAAGTCAAGGGGTCTTTTATGTCAGTCAAGGGATCTTTTCTCTCAGGAGCCATCTGGTCTGAGCTGAGAACAAGAAAGTAAGGAAAGAAGTTAATCTGTAATAGAAAGTCAGTAATTAAAAGGTCAAGCTCTCTGACTCGCTCTCCAAAGTCTGTTCCTCTGGGCCTAACGACATTTAAAAGTCCCAAATAGACAGATTACCCATTTTCTTTTATAGTGCTTTGTGAAATATGAAGTTGCATGTTGGTTATATGGTTGCTATCAGGCAGGACAGGAGTAAACATTTTCATTTTACACACATGACAACAGAGGCCCCCAAAAGGGAAGCAACCCTCCAAAATCACCTAGCCAGTTAGTAGCAAAGCTGGCATCCTGACTCCCTGTCCTGTTCCCATTCAGCTGGCCACAGGCCCGGAGACTTCTCGGCCCTCGTGCTGTGCCATCCCCCCCTCCTCACGCCGTCCCCACCTTACCTTAAGACACTTCCCACAGCCTCCCTGGCTCTGAGCCCCACCTGGAGAGCGATGCTTACTGTGAGCTACAGACTGGGCCCTCGTCCTGGTCACACACTGAGACCTGATTCCGGTCACAGAATGAGTCCTGGCTCTGGTCCTAGACAGCGATCCTGGTCATAGACGGAGCCCCAAACCCTTGCCACCAACTCTCCTAATAATTATACAAGTGAACACCAGTTGGGCCTGGCCCAGAGGACATGGATGGCTGGGTGCCATCCCCCTCAGTGCTACAGAAATCCTGTCTCAGGGCAGACCGGGTGCAGCCGTGGCCTGGTTAAACTCTCTGACATAGTTTCCCCCATCCTGGACCAGACTCAAAGCTACAGCCTGTGTCCCGTCCATCTCTGTCCCTTCCCACTGCCCTCCTGTGCAGGTGGGGGATTGCACAGCCCCCAGTAATGACCACTGTGAGCAGACATTGTCTGTGATGAGTCACTCTTGCTCAGAATGAAGCTGTCCAGCATGGACAGCACTTGTTCTGCCTTCTCTACTGCAAGTGAGTAACCCCTCTAGTCCGAATGTTCAAGCGTAACCTTGAACCGGCTGTTCCCCACCCTGGACCCTTCACTCCCACCCGTCACCAGGCCAGCATTTTCCCAACATGATTTCCAGGAGCTGCTAGTGCTAGAACACTGGCTCATTACAGCTGCTGCCTTGCTCTTAGTGCCTGGCTCCTCCTCCAGGTAGTGCTCTGTGTCAGGTGGCCGGCCATGCCCGCTTCTCACCATCCTCATTTCTCATCAGCCCAGGAGGGGCGGAAGATCAGGGCAGTGGCAGCGGAAGTCACTGGTGCTGGCAAGCTGGAGGGGAGAAAGTGGGATAGCAGGGAACAAGTGTCAACACATCACTGAGTCGTACATGCCAGGGCAGGCAGGACGCTGGAAGACTGGCCCTCCTCCTCTCTCCTCACTGGACAGGTGGAGCACTGAGGTCCCTGGCAGAGGAACTTTCCTGAGATTCCACAGTGATTTAGAAGAATAGGGACCCAAAGCGTGGATTCCCAATGCTGAAAACCAGTTTCGGACAAAAGGAGCAGACCCTGTAGCCCCTGAGGCCAGAGGAGATCCCTGTGCAAGGAAGGCCCAGGGAGGTGGCAGGGGCGGGCGGTGGGCAGGGAAGGAAGACCTTGCTACTTGCCTAACTCACCAGCCCCGGGACCTCTGGCTGGAAGGGGTGTGGGGTTATGAGTTCCTCATAACCGGAGGCCCACAGCACAGTCCGGGCCGTAGCATGGCGCCGCCGCCCAGCCCTGCAGCAGGTGGAGATAGGATGCTCAGAGGGAAACCGGGAGGAGTCCAGCCTGGCAGGGGCTGCTTGTGGGAGCAGACTGTGTCCGAGAAAATCACGGCAGACAGGGGGACCCTGCCCTTCCTCCAAGCCAAGGGGGATGAGCTGTGGTTTTCAGGTGCTTGGGCTCTCGCCTCCATGCTGCTCCCCAGTACTGAACTCTGTGCCCACCCAGCTGCTGGTGGCTGTGCCACCCCGGGCCTACTCTCTCCCACCCATGTTGTCTACATCCCACAAGGCTGGCAACTCTTCGAAGGCCGAGCGCTGCGGGGTGGGCTCTCTGGGAAGCGGCTCCGACTCGGAGTTGGTCACAGAACGTTTAGTAGGGACGGCTCCGGCAACGAGCGCCCGTACAAGGGGGGCAAAAGGGCAGAAGGGGAAGAGGGAGAAGGGGAGCTGCAAGGCAGGCCAAGCCCACCTCGGCTGCCTCGCTGGGGACACCGAAGGACCTGCGACAGGGAATGGCCTCTCAGTCCTGCGCTGGGCCTTTGTGGCCCAGCTGGATCAGTCCTTAGACATAGGCTGCCCAGCGGAGGGCATAGCGGCAAATCTCTGCAGCCACGATGGCCCCCGGGGGGCTGAGAGCCCACCGCACTCCCACAGGGGGGCACGACCTTCCCTGAGGAGCCTCTGCACGTCTGTCTCCGTGTCTACTGTCCTGGGTTTTAGTGGGCTTTTAAGGATCGCTTGTTGAATGCATAAGAGAACGAATGAGTGGAGCCCCTAAAACATGTTGGCCTCACTTTCATGTTCTGTTGCATGGGGATAGTAACATCTTCCACACTCACACTGTGAACACCAAGTGCCACAGACGGATGAAGCCTCCCCAGTTCTCTTTGAGCTGAGACCCTGAGCTTGGGGCTGGGGCGCTGAGGGGTGGGGTGGGCTTGGCAGTTCACGGTTGCTACTTCAGGGGAAACCACACTGCCTCTCACACAGGGCGGTCAGTGAGGCCCAGGGCAGGGGAGGATGGTACGCAGTGTGGGCCGTGGGCACTGAGTCACCGCCCAGAGGAAAACCACAGCTTCAAGAGGACAGGTGGCAGGTGGGCCAGGCCGAGAGCTAGCACTGCAGTCCAGCCTGTCCCATCCTGCAGGGCAGCACCTAGTGTATACCACAGGAAAGGCTGGCTCAGTCACAGCTCTCTGTGCAACCGGACACAGCAAGAGCTGGGTGACCCTAGGCAAAGAGCCACCCCTCTCTGGCTCTCCCCCACCTCCCTGGGAAAATAGGGACAATCCTTGAATTTGGGAAAATTCATCTACAAATCATCATCTGAAGACTCAGTCTGTGACTTTGCTTCTATTTTTGCTTTGATTTTACTGTCATCATTATAGTCTAAGGCTGTCACATTCATCTACTGGCTCCTCAAATAACCGGGAAACGTCTTCTCTGTCAGTTTTCTTCTCTTTCCTCTTCGCAGGAAATTGAAAAATTCTGAGTTCTTAACTATGTGCAATAAAATTTTAAAAAAATACAGAGATGATATATCCAGGCTTCTTTTATACTTTCTTGAAAGACGGTCTCATGCTTTGGACAAAGCAGTAAGAAAATGGAAGAATGGTGAACTAGCGGTGATTCATGTCGCTACTGAGTCACCCTTTTTTCTTACCATTTTAGTCTTTTTTTAAAAGCATGGTTGGGAATAATTGGTGAGTAATGATAAAAGAAGTTTCTGGGAGAATGAAATAGCAAAATGTTTTAAGATATAGGAAAAATAAAATCATGAAGGTCCCATAATATATTTTAGATTTATAAATGGTACAATGGATTCATACGGTAATTATAAGATGGAATAAATCTTAATTCTATTTTTTAAAAAATAAGTAAAATTTCTCTTCGGTTTTTGGAAGACCTCTGTGAAAAAATAAAAGTCATAAAATATCGATTCTTACAAATAGTTAGAACTGCTCAGAAAAGAAACTTAAAGATTAAAATTGGGTCTACTGGACCCTGATGGTAACCCGAGAGTTAAATGAAATTCCCCAAGAAGGTCATAGCTGAAGGTCCTCCTCTCCCTGCACTCAAATAAGGAGGAAAAAGTAGAGACTGTGAATTTGACATAAAATGAGATCCCACCCAAATGACAAATGATATGTAAAAATATGTAAATAAACATAAGGACAGTATTGAGAGCACTGGTGCTCCTGGTAGACATGGGATACTGGCTCCCTTCGGGTGAAGGGTAGTTCCAAGACAGCTGCCCCATCCTCCTCCCAGGCCTCCCCCACAGCCCCTCTGGCTGGGAGACTTGCTTCCTTACTCCCTATCCCAGCACCTAAAGAGACCCCTGTTGCCCACTGGAGCCCTGAGGCTTGGCCCGCCATGCCCCTGCCTCTGCCCAGCCAGTCTGCTCTCCCTGCTGCAAGCAAGGGGCCTTCGGCTACCTGCCATGCCCCTGTGGAATCAACAGGGCACTGTCAATGGCAGACCCTGCACTGCTGGGTACCTGGAGCCCCCAGGCCTGTTGCCCACATGGGTTTATCAGAAACTCACAATAGCCTCACAAGTATTGGGGGAAATGAGGCTCAGAGAAGGATAGTGACTTGTCTGATGTTGCCTAACAAATTATCGACAGAACCAGGACCATAACCAGAGCTTCTGCTGCCTGTTCAGAGCCTTCCCTTCCACGTCCAGGCCCATGTTAGCTCATGCCTTTCTAGGATGAAGGGGGACCAGGCTACTTCAGCTCAGAGGAAGCCCCCGGGGGCTAGGAGTCTAGGAGGTGTTCTTCCATGAGAAGGGACTGGCTCTATACTTGTTGATAGGAGGTAGAAGAGCCCAGTGGTTGAGGGCCCAGGCTCAGGTGCCATCCTGGCTCTACAGCTTACTACTGTGTGGCCCTCCGAAGGTGACCTAATTTCCCTGTGCCTTGGTTTCTGCACCTGTTGGGGTGGTAGGAGGTTGAGTCCTTTTGGATACCAAATCAGCAGCTCCCTCAGACCCCCTGAGTCTGGAGGACCATGGTCAGTAAGGGAGCCAGACCCTGACAGGACTCTAAGAGCAGGATTGGGCCTTGTCCAGACATGGGCCCCGGAGCTGGCATGTGGCACTGGGTGTAGGGCACTGTGGGGTCAGGACAACAGGGCATGGTGGATGGTCCTATGGTACTTCCTGAGCTCCCTCAGCATCTATTCCCCTCTCTCACCACCCCCACCTGACTCTCACCCCATTTGTTCAGCTTTTCTCTCCCTCCTAGCTTCCAGAAACTCATGATTTCCATTTCCTTGTCTTTGAACTTGCTGGGCATGATCTCAGAGTTCAGACAGTTTCACGGCCTCTCTGACACACACCCTTTCAACTTAGCTTTAAACGCTCAGGCCCCTCAGGGGGAGACTTCTGAGTCCAGCCATGGCAGAGTCATTGGTTTTAGATTTACCTTCCATGGTGAGCAACCATAAATGCTGGGCGAAATGTATCCAACAGCAGCTTGCAGGCATTGGGCAGCAACCCACGCAGGGCTGTGCTTTCTGGAGAAGGAACGCACATGAGGTGAACCCCACGTTTCTCCTGCTTTCTCCATGAGGCCATTTTCCCAACTAAGGTGCAGGGAGGTGGACCAAGCAGGAGGGGACAGTCTCATTGGGCCAAGAAAACAGGTATCTGCATCTGGATTTGGAGTATAGGATACAAAAAGCTGTATAAAAATTCCACTGGGTTCTTTGGCTGTACATATTCAGGGTAGGACTCTGAAAGGTCCAGCAGACAAGAGCCTTTGAGAAGCTGGAGAGCTGGGCACAGACTTCAGAGGCCAAACAGTGCTGGGGGACTTTAGAATTCAGGCCCAGGCGGAAGGGAGAGAGCTTTTTGAATACCCTAGGCCTCAGATAGGATTCCAGAAAGGCTGTATACATCCCAGGAGTGAAGGCTATCCTCTAGGAGAAAGGCCAAAACTAAATGCCCCATCCTACAAAAGCCTAAAACCAAGCTTGTACAGACACAGGTGACCCACTGGTGATCCAAATGCTTACCAGAACCAAATCTAACACTCTAACACTCTTTAGAGGAAGATAATATGATTCAGA